ATGTTCAAGATATCTAGTTCCTATGTATATAGTGCACTCTACTGACAGCTCATATTTTAAGCAACTAAACCTATGCAAAATCACTCGATATGCACATAATTACATCGTGGGAGGGAAAATTAAGATGCATAATTAGTTAAATATTTTGTGTATTATGTGAATGTTTCTTTTAAATTAAAAAGTATATGTAGCAACATACGTGAACTTTTCTTTTTAATTAAAGTGGCCCACACATCTTAAAAGATCCAAAATTATAATTAACTTTAGCTCTCTCTATATATAGAAAAAGTCCACCATCATTTCAAAACTATGTAAAGGGTTTTGCTTACTCTACCTTTGTATTTTTACCATAAAGCTATCCTTTGGAGTATTGTTTTTGTGCTCTTTCATGTCAAAGATAGACCAAATTTTCAACGACCCCATCTACATATAAGATTGATCCAATACTATGATGGCCACTGATCTTTAAAAATAACAAAAAAAAAAACAACCAAAGAAAGAAAGAAATAATGTAATGCTCACCGATTTGATTAATCGATTGCAGCCTATTGGTATGGTCACAAGGGTCAACTAATAATGAGGTTGGGCCAATGAAGTAGTTGAAGAGATATCATAAGCATTTAAGCTTCACATGCATTGTCTCAATTTCTCAAAATATAAGAAATCTTACCCACTTTCTTTCACATTCAGATCCATCGTCTTTAACTAACAGTATGTTTTATGCAAGAAACAAAAACAATATTTTTAACATGTTTTCAAAGACATATAATAAGAATCTGTATACATTTTTAATAGAATTCATATAATATTATAGAATTTAATATATTAGTAACATTAAATAATATAAAACTTAATAAAAGACACATTAAAAAAATCAATGAAGAAAAGAGATGAAACCAAACCTATTTACAACTTGTTGCTTTTTTACAATCACTACAAAAAAAATCATCATATACATACGAATACTTATAATAATATACTAGTTAAAATTACAAATATATATATCATATACTTATAAATGTGGTAAACTGTAAGTATAGATATCATGATATGATAATAATATCTCACAAACCACACTCTTCTCTGCGAGTGTTTATTAGACTAGCTAGTATAAAATGTGGCCCTGGTCCTGGGTCATGTTCCTTATATTAAGAACAGTGATTAACAATGAAGGGTTCTTTCTTAGGAAACATACATAAGTATGGCAGTACATGCCATGTTGAGATTGTCATGAAAGAGTTGTAGTACACCGGCATATCATTAATTGTAGCAAAAAATATTGCGTATAGATCCATGGAATTTCTAATTAGCCAACTGAGCTAAACTTTTTATATTTAATTCCTAATTTATAACAATTATCACAGTACATTATTTTATTCAATTTCTGTTTAATTTCTAATCGTGGTGAGAGTTATGTTATTTTCACATAATTGACGTGACAAAAAAATACTCATAATAGGAAAAAGAAAAAGGTTCTCAGCAAAATTTAGTTCCCATGAATTTTGTAGGCAATCGCAAATTTAAGGTTTTATAGTTTTCAATTTTTTAATTATGATCGAATAGTATATGTTAGAATCAGAGTCAAATTTAATTCAATATAATCAGATAGAATGAATGGCTTTAATCATATTATGTCATTTTTCTATTTATTTATTTTTCAAAGATTTATAAATTAAGATGTCTAACATCACTTACAACCAAAGATGTTATAAATGAACAAAATATTACAATAATTTAGTTGCTTACAAGAAAAGTGACAGATAAAGAGTGGTGACAAATGGACAAAAGAGAATGTGCTGAGGAAGATAAAGTAGTCCAATGGAAGAGATAAAGAAAAAATTATCTCTCACAAAAGAAAGGAGAAAAAGACTCAGCTAAAAACCCTCAAAAAATGGAGAGGGGAGCCCTCATAGAAAGGGGAAGAACGAAGAAGCCCCCTTAAGGGGCGGCACTATGTATTTGAAGCTTTGTTGAAGGCAACTGCTAAAGTGTTTTAGACAGAAATATGATTGCTAAACAAGATTAATTCTTCCTCATTTAAACTTAAACAAACAGCTCATAAATTAATCTATGATTATAGTCAACTCCTTATTTAGATGAGTGGTAGAAGGCCTTAAACATTTAATATAACTTTGGTGAAAATAATCAAACAAAATTAACTTAGAGTATAAATAATTTTATTCTTAAAAACTTGTTTAAGTTGAAGTGTAAAATTGTAGCTTTACATAAAATTATAATAATATTTACCAACTCGCTTTTGATAAAAGTTTACTTTAAACTTACTTTTAACAAAAAAAATTATAAAATTAAAATTATAAAAACACAATTTACATAGATGAGAGGGTGTTTAAGATGTGTGCTTTCCCAATAAATTATATGACATTTCTTGTATTAAGTATCTCATATTTTATAATCTTTTAATATTTCTCTCATATACAATTTAAATTTAAATTTGGCATAATCAAATTATTTAAGAGGCATAAAAATTATGAGTATTTGATTTATGTAATTTATTTTTATGGTTTTTAAAACTTTTAAAACACTGCCTCTTTAAGTTATCCTTATATATATATAATTCATTATTAACATCTATCATTTTTTTTTCAATCATAGAGGGGTTGAAAGGTCGGTTTCTTAAGATATGTAATTTACTCATTGCAACATTATTTACAAAATATAATATTTGTATCTTTTACAAATGTAAATTTAAAAATACTAGTGATTATTATAAAGGTAAGAACATGATATAGTTTAGGTGGCTGATTGCAAATAAGTCAAAGTCGTGTCCCAAAACTTGATACTAGTGATCGAGACTGAGACAAAATTAAAATTATTCAAAGAATTACAAGACAAGAAGCAAATGGGAGGTCATGGCCTCAAACCAAGATCCCAAGTAGTGTTACAATTGAGCCAATTATAAGGACCATGATGGTACTAAGGAAAACGGATGAGTCAAATATGGTATTTTGGTAAGGCATTTAGAAAGGAATTTGGTTTGAGATTGGATTTTCTTTGTTAACCTAATACAAGTTCCTATATTTTAGATCATAAAATGGAGGTCAAGGGTTTATTTACAAGTTCAAGTATGCTTTTAATTAGTTAAATAACTATAATATTTTGTGTTGATTATGTTGGGATTTGGAGAGGAGTGCATATAATGAATTTTTACTTTCTATAATTGAACATAGGTCACAATAAGTGAATTGCATTATTTTATTTCTCTCTCTCTCTCTCTCTCTCTCTCTTTAAGTATTGAATCTCTTATCATATTTGTATTATTTATTTTAAGTTTGTTTCCCTACATTATTAATGGAGGTTCAAAGAAAAAAATTATTTAAAAAGCATTTTCACCACATCTTATAAATCATGCAAACTTCATCTCATTATAGTTCTCTTTTGGTTTTCACAATTCATAAAACAGCGACAAAGATTTTGGGATTTTTTTTATTAGATTCATGTGATTTGAATGATCAAAATCAATTATTTATATATTGGACTCATGTGAAACTTATTACACATAATGAATTTAGACAGTGAGACATCTTCTCCAGATCTATATGACCCACCTCCTCTACAAAGGAATGACAGCACAAAATAAAATTTAGGGGCACTTTCTTCATCAAGTCGATATTATTTTATCATGTTTATAAACGAGTTTATGTTATGTAAACTTTAAGGAAACTTCAATATAGATTTTGGATTTTGCACTCATTTAAAATAAATAATCAGTTGGTTCTTTCACATCAAAATTTTGCCAAAAATATTGAAAAGTTCTGTATACGTACAGATTCATTTCTGCAAAGAAAATTTACCAATTATCAGTACAGAATTATTTGCGCTCCAATATTTGTTTAACCAGATCATTTTCTTGTTTACTGGTTGAGTTCATTTGAACCATGCCAGTAAATAGTTTAATTAAATGTTTAGTTTTACCTACCCAAAACAAGTTCTATTTTGAGTTTAAAAAAATAAAAAATGAAAACCATGGATCTACTTTCTTCAATTTAAATTAATCAAAATATTAAATTTTGATTAATTTGTGTACACATTTCAAAAATGTTCAATAATTTAATATACGAATAGTAAAATTCTTCCTTCAAATATTTAATATTACTTTATTTGTTGAAATCCAAATTCAAAACTAAATATTAAGGTAGAATAAATTCATGTATTTTATTCACGTTATTAGCAGCATTAATTAATGAATTTTAACTTTAAAATTAATTTCAAACAATTAATAATAATAATATTTTTTATTTTAAAATTTGGGTAACTGCGAAGATTCAAAGAAGACAATATTTAATTTGTCTAGCCGTTTCATGTGACAGTAGAGAAAAAACATACTAAGATGTCAGGCATAGAGAAAGAACAGTGTTTCGTTTGTACCAAATTATTAATTTATTGATTAACTACTAATCGCATACATAAATCCACACTGTTCTTAGATGATTCTGATGTCAGGCACGTCGACAATTTGCTTTGAGAGATTTTGTCCACTCACATTTACAAGTGTTAGTCAGTGTTCAATTAAAGATTTTAAAATATGAAAGTTTTGTTTTGTAAGAAAAAAATAATAAATACAAGTTTTTGTAAATTTTAATAATAATTTATCACTTTAATTTTTGTAACCACTTCCTTAAGAGCAATTAGGAAGACCCATAGACCCTGGAATTTGAAATGAAGAGGTGAAGCACGCAGCGTTGGGATAAAACAAGAGGAAAATGTTAAAAAACTGAAAGTGTTTCGAATTGTGGAGAAAGTGACAAAAAGACAAGAGCTCAAGTGTAAGATACACAAGTTGGATTTCCAAGAGGGCAATGCTCATATTACACATTAATTATTTGGAATCGTTTTCCCCAAAATGACCCTTTTGTTTTGTACTCTTCCACTTCTAAAGAGTTTGAAAGTTGAAAACTCATAAATAAGCACCACCTTGTGTCACAGTTCATAACAGCTTTAATTCAAACTTTCAAACCCGTTTCTCTCTTCTCTCTTCTCTCTTCTCTCTTCTCTCTTTCACTCCTGGTTTTCTGCTTCTGGGTATCTTTTTTTTTTTTTTTTTACTTCTTATTCTTTCTTATGTTTCAAATATATATATGTGTAAACCACTTGTAAAGCCTTTCTCAACTTATTCTTTAGCCTAAGAGATTTCTCTCTACCCATTTGCAGTGAAAGTTCCCTGCTTTATCATGAGATGATTTTTCAGATCCTTCAAGTGTTAGCTCATTAACAAACACCATTGTTGTGCTTATGTAAAATATTGTTATCAAGGTAAGTGCTCCACGCTTGACTCATTATTATTTAATATCATATAACATATTCTATATATTTGCGTATATTCTCAATGTTCTTAAAATCTATAGCACGTTTTTTTTCTCATTGTCTTTGAGTCATTCTTTGCTTTCTGCAAATATAAGCAATTTTTCTCACACACATGCACACGTGTGTGGTGGGATTTTTTATTTTTTTTTGGCCCTTTAATGAGGCAATTAACCTTTTTTTACCACCAAAATTTCTAACTTTTTATTGTTGTTTTTCAGTTTGTGTTTTTTTTTTTTTTTTTTGAGTCTACTAAGCACAAAAATGAACACACATTCGGAGAATCCTCTCCATGGCATCAAGATCGTATCCCCTTAAATTGTTTCTCTGCATTGTGCAGTGAACATTGACCCTGGTCTTTTGGATGCCTTTTGTTTATGGTACTAATAATTTTTTGTAGATCAAATCATTTATTTGTATGTCTTTTAAAGAAAGTTTTTATGAGCCTAATAAATGTTACTTTGTAATCTTTAATTATTACTTTAAAGTTTGTATGATACCTATTAAATTTGAAACTGATGTAATAATTAAACAATCATTAATATTATTAATGGTCTAAAGATATGAAATTTTTTTTTCTCAAATCATGGAGAAAAGCATTTCTTATTTTCTTATGCTATCTTTTCAATATATATTATAGTGGTGTTTTTTTATTTCATTTTGGTGGATTTTGTACGGTCTCCTGTTTTGAAAGTTCGATTAAAATTTTCACCAGACGATAAAAAAAAGTTTGATTAAACTTTGTTCCATCATATTTCACGCGCATTGATGCGCGTGATTCACAAACATTTTCAAGGACATGCATTTCAACTAAAAGAATCTTCCAGTTTCACTGCTTTGTCTTATGTTATGTAGCATGAATTTCTTTTCCCTTAAAATCTATCTACCCAGCAAAGCATTAGGGAATGTTTTGGGGGAGTTTGAGAAGAAAAATAAAGGAAATGTGATTAGTATTTTGAAGTCATTGAAGGTTCTTTGGAGAGCCAAAACATCCAAACAATTTGATTTGACTGTGTACCACTCACATGGATGTTTGGTTACTTTCATTGTCTGAAATCTGAATATATGCTATCTAGAATCTAGATATTAGTTTCTTCAAAACATGTTTTTGTTGAAAGGGCATTTTCTCCTATACACATTATTCCGTTAACTTTCTGGTATCTACTGTAACTTCGGTGTAAATTCATGTAAGAGAACAAGATTTTCCATTTGATGACATGAATTTCTTGAAAGGTTATCATGCACAGGAGCAAAAGCTTTGGTGGAGTAACACTAGATTAATATCTGAATTCCTTAAAAGAAGATCTTGCTTAGAACACAAGATTTAAAATGTACGAATGTTTTTGAGAAATATTTATGTTATACGCATGTTGCATAACTTTTTATACCTTGCGTAAGATAATAATTTGTCATAACAATTCACCTTTTTAACTGCATTGATTCGAAAAAAAGTTGTAGTTGATCACATTATATTTTAAGGCTAAAGGCAAATGATCTTTCACTTGTGATATAAATTCACTACTACACTACAAGGATTTGAGTCTCTCTCCTCATGTGTATCTGCATCCACTAAAGGGTGGTGGTGCCTTTCCCTTTTATAATGTGGGGTCTTGATAGGTTTGGTTTCCTAAAAGGGAGAGACAATTTCAGAAAGGATATTCTACCATCTGATTATCATTTTCATTTGTTAAGTGTCATTTGAAGCAACGAAAAAATATAAAAAATAAAAGAGATAAACAAAAGATAATTTCCTAATAACTGTGGGCTCCAACATTATTTTTTTTTCTCGTTTGTGATGGTCAATCACCACAATTTTCAAAATGACACTAGATCTTGATACTAATTTCCTTCAATTATTGTTTTACCTACTCCTATCTACTAAAATGCCCCTTAACCTACACTTTAATCAACAAGTTACATGGACTGAGTAACTTATCCAGCTAGTGATTTTTCTTAACAAGTTACAATTTTTCGTGTTTCTTGTGATGTTAGCTACTTGATGAACTAACCTTTGATGCTGCTATTAGGCTCATAATTGCTAAGCTGCTGATTCAAAAAAGAGGCACATGAACAAACTACTTTAGACTACAATTCAGAAGGCAAGGTAAAAAGCATTGATATGACTACTATTGGAGTTGTACCTCTGTCAACACCACTATACAACCACTTGAATGCATGGTGGGGCCTAGTGCAATTAATGAGAAAGTGAAATAGTTACTAATATGCAAGCAGTATCAGGTTGCTTATATAAATGGGGTCACATAAATTCTTTTTTCCTTTATTGGGGTGATTGTTTTGTATTTACTCTTAGGGTTTTAAACTCTTGGACCATTGTCTGTATTAGGTTGCATTTACTCCTTATAGGACCGTCTGAGTAAAACATGCAGCATTTACAGCACTTACTCCCTTTTAAACAAAGCAAAAAGCACTCAATAAAGTAGGCTCTGACTCTGCATGCTTTCTTGAACTTGGGGTGGTATTAAAGGCCTACTTTTATAGCATGTCATTTTTTGAACACAGGATCAGTGTGTGTTGTGGGGTTTCTTTATTCGCTTTTTTTCTCGATTTTTCAGAAAGGATCATCTACCTTTCTAGTTTCTTGTGGAATATAATTTATGGTATCTTGGGTTTAAATCAATTGGCTTTTAGTTTAATAGTCACGGTTGTAGTGAGTTGGCTCCTTTATGATATATGATATAATGTGGGTTCAAGGCCATAAATAGACATAGCCATTGATGTTTTTCCTTTGTTCTTCTATCTTTACCTAATTATGATTTGGAGGTTGAGGCTCGATGGGGGAATATAAAAGCCTAACTGCGATTAACTTGAAAGTGCTCCATTTGCTTCATAGAGTGCTCTAAAGAGGGTCAGTGAAATCTCTAAGAATGTTCTCATTCTCATTTTTCTTCTCTTAAAAATAAGTTGTAGCGTACAAACTTACCAAAAGAGTTCCATACTCCTACGCACCCCTTTTGTTTTGAATTTATAAACGGTGCATTCTTTGTCTTGTGCCATTTATGTTATCTGTATAAGCAGGTTGTGCCCATGAGCATTGATTTTTATTTTTTTTAAATATATATTATGCTATGTATACTGTATCTTCACGTTTCTAGTGTTGCTAGATTGGATGGATTTCACTTGGTCATACAGTTTATTCATTTGAATTTGTTTAGCAGGTGAGACTCTTTTAGCTAACAAATCCTTCAAAGTGTTTTATCATTTGCTATCTTCAATCATATCAAATGCCAAGATCAAGGTATGATAACCTTATCCATTGGTAGTATAATACTCTACTGCTTCCATATACTAGTTTCTCTATACCTAATTATCTATATTGTCTGATTGCTAATAAACTTCATTTTATTAATTCTTTCTGTTTTTGTTGTTCATCAACCAACCAATGCATATCATGCTTAGTTCTGCTTATAGGTATATCTGTTGCATATAAGAAATTGTGGATTCGTCAAGTGCATATTTTCAGTTGGTTTTTCCCTGGTTTGAATTTTATTCACCTATCCACACTTTATAGATTTAACTCTCCCCATCTCCTCTAATGAAAAGGGAAAAAAAATCCTTATGATGAATGGAAATATATCATGTCTCTGATGTCTGTTAAGGATGGAAAATACATTTGAGGCAGCACTTATCAGCTTATGTTTTAGGTTAAATTGGTTATTACTAATATGAGCCTCTTTGATCAAGATGTTGGAACTTGGAAGTGTGATTCTTGATATTGAGAAATTCCGAAGGAACATGTTGGTGCCATGTTAGATAAAATTATTCTTTAGTTTCTGATCTAACAACCCAAGTTTTTAAATTCAATTAGTTTTTCAACAATATCCAAGTATGATTAATATAAGGATGACAGTTCAGATCACCACTATGGAAACTGTTGAAACACATGATTTCTGCTTTTTCTGTCTACTTGTTCTTTTTGTATGCAATGCCATTATTTGATCTCTATGCTGTTAATCATGTTATGAAATATTTATTGGAAATTGAGTTATTATTATAACACAATTATATATAGTTTTTTATGATGCACTGTTTTCAAGTAGGGGATCTGATTTGCCTCAACGGCAATCTCCACGAGGAGCACATCAAACTCGGACATCAAGTTCTGACTCTGATCCATTGCATCATCGACCAATTGCTGATCGAAGTCCAAAACTAGGAGACCGGCGTTCCCCAAGAGGTACTCAATCTGAGACACTTAATCAGAAGAAGCTAGGAACTCGCATTGCAGATTTGGAATCTCAGCTTGGTCAAGCACAAGAAGAGTTGAAAGTTTTGAAGGACCAGCTAGCTTCTGCCGAGGCCGCAAAGAAAGAAGCTCAAGATGAACTAGTGAAGAAAGCCGTGCAATCAGTAGTGCCAGTGGTAGAGAAGTTCCAACAAGGTAAGTGCACTTCCAAGCATGCTCAAGAACCTAATAAAACTGAAGCCAAACCCCAAGATATTATACCTGATGACAACCAACAAGAGACTGATGTGTTTGAAGTTCCAATTGAAAAGTCGGCAATTGAATTCAGCAAACCCACTGATCAATCAGAGAAGGAAGCTCAACCATTTGAAGACTCAAATGCACAAGCAACATCAAAGCCAGAGAAGCCTAATGTGGATGAAATGAGACTCAAGGATGATGAAATTGCACTGCTGAAGTCAAATTTGGAAGAGAAAGGGAAGGAGTTGGAGTGTATAAGCAATGAAAAAGAGAATATGAAGAATCAACTGAATGAAGCAGTTTCAAAAGTATCGGCCGCTGAAACCAAGGAAGAAGGAATGAACTTGCAGTTGAAGCAACTGAGAGAAGAGTTGGAGGCTAGTAAAACCAATGCAGACAAGTTGAATGAGAAGTTGAAATCCGTCGAAGCAGAAAAGGAGGGGTTGGAGTCAGAGATGAAGAAGCTAAGGGTGCAAACTGAGCAATGGAGAAAAGCAGCAGATGCTGCAGCTGCAGTGCTGGCTGGGGGTGTGGATATGAGTGGAAGGATTCCTGAAAGGTGTGGTTCTATGGATAAACACTTTGGTGGCACATTTGAGACACCTGCTGTTAGGTACAATGGTTATGTTGGCTCTCCTGGTATGGCTGATGACTTGGATGATGGTTATGGAGGTGGAAAGAGGAAGGGTTCTGGGATTAGAATGTTTGGTGATTTATGGAAAAAGAAGGGTCAAAAGTGATTTATGCATTATATTCAGTGAGTGAATTCGTACAAGTACTTTTAACTAAACTAAATGTTTTGATGGTAGCAGAAACCAGCTAAAACAGTTGCTTACTGTTTTGCATCTTTCTGCTATCATGTTTAGTCATATTTTGTATTGTTAAGGCCCTTAAGCGTGTAGTGTTACTGTCGCATCATTTGTGCATGGTAGGGATGTGAACTTTTTGAAACATGATTTATATATATTCCCTTCTCCGGCACTGAGATGAAGGCACTTTTTCTTGTGTAATATATACTTCGTTTTATGTTTGACTTGCTATGTTTTTAAAATAACGTTAACATCAAGGATATGTGCATTTGTCTGTGAGCAACTTTATGTTGAGGTAGAGTAGATTAGTGTGTCAAATTGTATAGTTCTCAATGTTTTGTAGAAGCAAAGCTATTTATGAACAACGAAGTCAATGTGTAGAAAAGCGAATGAGAGATTCGTAATGCGATAAAAGTTTGGGGAAGTGAGTTTGAAAGACTTGTCTAATTGTGTCACTTAGGTAAGACTATTTACTGATGTGGTAATACCTTCCTGTATAATGGTAAATTATTCTTTAGCAACAAAGATACCTCTCTTTTTTTGGGTTTCACGAAACCATTTTGTCAACTTCCAAAAGTTCTCATTGCTTAAACAAGACGATCATGCTCCTGAACTTAATTTATCTAGGGATTGCATGAGTATAAGCTGTGCGATAATTTCGATTTATATCACTTCAAATCCGTGTTTGAACTGCTTTTATACTCGATGTATAATTCACTTCTGAACACTTAATAGTAAAAATCAGAGCTAATATGCAACAATAATCCTACGGCCTGCATGTGGCGTGATTTAACACTCGAAATTATGGAAACGAGGAATTGAGGAGTAAGCCGATATAGCAGCACATTAAACAAAGTTATGCTCTATTTTCAAATAAAATAAACCACGCAATTTATGCTCCTTTTCTTCCTTTCTTTCTTCCTGCTCTTAAACAAGCTATTGAAGGGAATTTCAAATATCTATTCTGCGTCTGTACAGTCATAATACCCATTCCATCGCAAGTACAATTTACAATCCAACGGGAGCAACTGTTAAACGAAAATAGTCATTCCGTAATATCTATGAATACTAATCCTCATCATCACTTCCGTAGTTTTGACACACAGATTGTAGTCCACTAGTAGGAGTGGTTTTATTATCTTCCTCTTTCTTCTTTTCTTCTGGTTCTTCAAGACTTTTAACATCAGACATCACTGGTTTCTTAATTACGGAAATCCTCACTAAAGAATTAAGCTTTCCACCACCATGTGAATTTTCTGCAAAACAACAGATGTTATAACATGTTACATTCCCAAATTGATAATATTATTAAATATCTTCTCCAAGAAAAATATAAAATAAGTAAATCAATCAAACTATATCCATACTTGAATCATAACAGACAATGCATGTGTATGTAAATGGTGAGCTATCCCACCCAATAACAATATCTGCTCTCCTCATGTTAATCATCTTTCAATAGAAATTACTTCACAGCAATAACATCACTTAATATTCAAGTGTAAATAATTTATTAATGAACTTCAGTGTATCTAGTTCATAAACACATTAAAAAATGTGCACATACCTTGTTTGCCAGAATTATCCAAATTGGCTTTGGTCAGAGCGTCAGTTGGTTTGGCTGGAAGATTTTCAGAAATTTTTTGCTTCTGCAGACAAATACAAACATAAGCGTGACATCTTAAATGAATGAAAAATCAGGCACCTTAAGAAAAGCTTAATAGAAACAAACTATATATTTTTTGAAACATTTGATTATCTTTGCATATACAACAAATTTCTTCCATACTTCACATTTTATAAGTCCAGGTAATGTAAACAAATAAAAAATATAAGAGGCTTTTGGTTTGAGAAAAGGTTGTGTTTACACTTCTAATTATATAAATCATCGTTTCGGCATTTCCTATACAAATCTCTAAAGATAGTAAACAAAATGAAAATAAGGTGACAGTTTTATAAATAAAAGTAAAACATTTTTTTCAAATCAAATGGTCCCTAAACATCCTTTAAATTTATTTTTTGTAAGCAAAGAATTTACAAATAAAGAGAAAGATATAAAAATAAATGAAAAAGACAAAAATAAAATATGAAGAAACATGCAACAAGGCATGCCAGCATCTCTCTGTACATCTAACAAAGGAGCCCCCTTAACAGACCAATAGCAAAACACCACAAAGAAAGCACTCCTTTGTTTTATAACAGAAGACGGAAACAAAAGTATTTTTCACAAGTCTTTCAAGTTTAACTTCATTTTCTAGCACTCAAGAAAGGAAAAAAAACAAAAAACAAAAGTAAGCACTCTTTTTCATGCTGTAGGCATGGTTGAACTTAAAATGCAACTTACTCCTATTTAACATCCTCCATGTTAGTTAAAAAAAAAAAATACAAAACTTCAAATGTCTTTTTTATTTTTTAAAATCTCAAAATGTGTCATCTTCTTCCAACATGACGTGCTCAAGTTAATAGAAGATGTGATCATCTAGAAATAGAACATAAGTCATTTAACAGTGGTACAACTTATAGCACAAGGCATGCCCAAGTTTAATATAACCATGCTCAAGTTTACTAGTCTTTTTGGCCTTAAACTTTTAAAGGTCATACGTTTTGTACAAAATTTCAACCAAATTAATCTAGAATTGAGAACATAAATTGTCCAACGGTGGTGCCACATACACACTAGTATAAAAAGGACATTCTATAACAACTTTCAACATCAATTAATTTTTAAATGATACGATGTATCAATTAAATCTTAATTAATAGAGGTCATCACCTTTAATATCCTATTATTACACAATAAAGTGACAGAAAAGAATCAAACAAGAATACAAAAGATTAGAAAAAATGGGCAAAACATTGAAATTTTGAAAAAAAAATTTATCCAAACTTCTTTCGGATATTCGGTTGTGAATAGATCTCAAAAAGTTATGTGAAATAAACATATAATTTCGTTTATTTTGTTTTGGAACAAAAAAGGGATACAAGAGTGTTTTTCATAAGTCTTTCAAGTTTAACTTCATTTTTTGGCACTTACGAAAGAGAAAAAACAAAAGTAAGCACTCTTTTTTATGTAGGCATGGTTGATCTTCAAATACAACTTACTCTTATTTACATCCTCCAGGTTTTGTAAAAATAAAAAATAAAATGGTCCAACGCCCACACTAGTATCAAAAAGACATCTATTACAACTTTCAACATTAATTAATTTTTTATGATAAAAAAAATACATTAATTAAATCTTATTTAATATGAAGTCATCACTTTTAATATCTTATTACACAATAAAGCGGCAGAAAAGAATCAAACCAAAATACAAAAAGTTAGAAAAAATGGGCAAAATGTTAGAATTTTCGGGAAAAAAAGTTATTCAAACCTCTCTTTCAGATGTATGATTGAATAGATCTCAAAAAGCTATATGAAATAAATATATAATTTACATATAAACACATTCATGTTAACATAAATTGCAAACATGCCCCAACTTAAATTCTATTCAATGATTAGCACAACCATACTCATCACAAACACGATCATGCTACTACATATGTAGCAAAAGGGTGATGCGACTTATGTGCAAATTACAAGTTACCACACCCTAGTGCGGCTTATGTTAGAGCACGCCATGCTCTTTACATGCCCCGTACTTGTGCATAAGTCATTGCAAGATAATACAACTTATGTACAAATTACAAGTCACCCCACTATTGTGCAACTTTATTAGGAAAAAAGGGACATTTCGAGATTTTAAAGAAACAGGACATATTTGATGTTTTGTATTTATTTTATTTTATTTCTAAAAAAATTCCTCATTTTATCCCCTGCCCAATATTAACAATTGGCTGCTTGACAGAATCTAAAAAGAAATTTTCATCAGAGCATGCCGTTGGTTATATTTTTTTATTTTTTAAATATAGTGAAATCAAATTCATAGAGAAGAACAGCTGGTTTAGAAAGAGAGTCAAGAAATAAAGAAATGACACAGGACAGGGGAGACTGAAAACAGGATATAAGAAGGTTAAGAAAAATATAAGATTCAAGTTTAAAGATCACAAATTTCAACAGATCACAGAATGGGATGAAAATAATCAGAAGTGAGGTGCTGAATAATGATGCTGATTTAGTTAATTAGGCCACCAAGATATTAAAGAAAAATCTTTTAGTACAAACATATACACATGCACAAGACATTATACCTTTGGATTATAATCGGCTGTTTCACCATGTCCATTTGAAAGCTGATCCAATTGCTCCTCAGTTTCAATATCTTCATCCCGAATTCTTCTGACATAACCTTCTGAATTCTGTTAAAGATCATACAAAGCAAACCATATAGATTAATTTCAAAAGGAAGGAAATAGATTGACAGTAAAAGTAACTAGAAGTAAGGAGGAGAACTAGAGTATAGGATAATAATACTTACATGAAAGACTACTGATTTTATCAGTGCTTCATCTTCTTCTTCCAGCCTTTTCTCCTGAAAGAATTAAATAAAACAGTTATTTTTCTTGTTATGAAGGCTATCTTTTCCTTTATTATTATCATTTCAACAACCTTAAACATTGGATAAAAAACATGGAGTAGTAAATTTTGAATCAGCTTGTTGCCTCGGCTTAAATTTTCTACTATTACAAATATTTTGTTTAATAATGAATCCTCACAAAACCAAGGAATGGATAACAATAAATTACATTTCAAACAAAGTTTAAAGTTTCAAAAAGTACATATACCTTTTGTAATCAACAATTAACCCTTGCTTCAAACAGAAAATTCTTGTACAAAACAAATATATCATATACCAAGTTTCATAATACCTTGTCAGCTGTGGTGCGTTGCAAGGCCTCCAGCATTTCATCAACAGTGACAGTTGCATGCCTAGACTGGAAAATGAAAGCTTCATGTTAGCAATTACCATAGACAGACTTCAAATTTATGCACAAACATAATTATTACTTATTAGAACAAATGACCCAAACTATTAATGTCATTTTTACATTATGTTATAAAGCCAACATTCCTTTATGCACAGGCATCAAATTTAATACATCATTATATGAATTGCAGTCAAAAGAGTGAGTACCTTCATTGACTTCATCTCATCCAATGCAGCAAGGATGTCCATCTCCCTTTTAGAATCCAGGGTTCTATTCTCCAACGATTTCATTGCATCTCCCATCTCTTCAGCCTCCCTCTTCTGCTTCATTTTATCAGCTTCTTCATCTTCTGCACGCCAAGGTTCAAAATTCCTGGTTGCACCAGATTCAACGACATAATCTGAATTCTGTGGATCAGTCTTCATGGTAAGCTCAGCCGAGCACTTGGTGCATTTAAAGTAGAATCTGAATATTTGAATTCCCAGATATGTCTGCAAAAAAAGAATTATACAAAAATTCAATCTCAATGTCATAATTGAAACCAAATTACACATAGAGCAAGAAGCAATTATGAACCTCCTAGTTCTAAGAATATTTTAAATGCCGACAAACAACCAAATCATCAAATTGAAGGTACCGAATACAAAAATTCCCAAAAAGACAAGCATTAGCATGCCTTTTAAAACATATCAAATTACACTGAAATAAAGGTGCTAAATATCAAAAAAATTGAAATTGAACTTGTATCAATAATAATTAAACCTCGCCAATAACATCCTCCTTTCTGGAGTTGAACTTGGTGCCTTTGTAGATGTAGTTACCACAAGTGTTGCATCGAATGCTCATGGGAAGCATCATGCGGACCTTGATCTGCTGGTTCTTGGGCCTTCTTGCTCTGGGAAGCTTGGAGGGATCAAAGTCAGGTGGGTAATACTTGTTCAGCACCTTCCTCTCACCCATCTTTCTTCTTCAAATTCAAATTTCTTCCTGCACTCACCAAAAAGTTATCAATCTTGGATAGCAATATCAAAGGCATGGTATTATATTGTAAGCGATTGAGATTAAAAAGAAAAGCAACATAATTATGAGTTAAGAGAAGAGATCCAGAAAGCGGACAAAAAACTGTAAGGAGCCATGAAAATGAATGTGTTACCTTAAAAGAGTTACACTTGTCGAGCGATTAACTCCGGAAACTAAGGTAACCGAAAGAGAAAAGAAGAAGATTTTTCAATTTCCTGCAGGAAATGAGACAGCAAAGAGAAATCAGATAAGTTTAGCCAGCAGAAATGAAAATCAAAACTGAATTAACTGATGCGGCGAAGACTTCAAGGTTGTGATGAGAATCAATTATTTAGTTGTAATTTTGATGAAGTACATTAGTTTCTCTCACCTAAATCTGGTTCTGTTAAAACTCACGTCCCACGTTGTAAGAAAACTGGGAAAGTGTCCGGATTTCAGTTCTGAAGCTTTCAAAATGCAAATCTACTTGTGAAACTCAACTAATAATGACATTTCAGTGCTTCTATCCACGATGATAGCTATTAACGCCAGGAAACGACGATGGTCTATGTAATCTAGAACTACCAGACAGTTCCAAAATCCTTCTATTTCTCAAGAGAAATGTATCTGCAAAAGCCCAGAAAACCACGAATAACTTAGCAAAGAGGCCAAAAATGAAACAATGAACGAAGGAAATCTTCAGAACAGAATTCACTCGAAAATTTACAATGAAATTCCGACAGGCTCCAGCAACTACCCTTCGAACGTGCATCTGAAAACAAAAATGAGACAAAACAATTTAGGGGAAAAAAATCGAATTCGATGTAAAAAAAAGCTTATCTCTTATCGGGGCCAAAAAGAAAAACAAAAAAGAAGAATTAGAATTTGAGGCTTTCTTTCTAAATGTTAGACCTCATTCTATCTGGAGAAGTATCAGATCCTCAACATTAAAGTTTCAGTTATCACAATTAGTCTTGTAAATTGCGGAGCAGAGAGTTGTGGAAGATAATGGAGAAGAAGAAGAAGAAGAAGAAAGAGGAGGGTAGAAGAGGAAGCAGGTTCTTGTTGCGATAGAACGAAATGGAGTGTTTCCATTGAAGGTGTTTATATACATCTTGTACTACACTCCTTTGCGCCAAGGCTGTCAAAAAGCCCAATTGGCCCAGCCCTAACCCTAGTCCATGTGGGTTAGGGTCAAAAAGCCCCATAAATGAAAAGCGGTCAACATTTGCATCATCTTATATGGTAAATTAGTATAAAATTATAAAATTAGTATAAAATGATCATATTATATGGTAAATAGAGGAACAAAGTCGGATTTGCATCATCAGGTCCCAATAAACAGATCAAATAGCACTCAATTGATAAACAGAAACAAAGTCGGATTTGCAATTTGTTTCTCTACTCTGCAGTAAATTGCAGCATTTCTCAACAGCACTCAATCCAAACCTTTATAAGGCAGAGGTTCAACCACATAATACCCAGCAACTTCAACCTTTCTAGTAAGTGCATCATCTACGAAGATTATAAATCTACATATAATCTGTCGTACTATATATACAGTATAAAACACGTTTCTTTAATGAACTATATCTCGCTAATTCGTTTGTACTATTCACAAAAAGAAGAAAATTTTCATCAAATCTATATACGATCAAAACAAAGTCGGATTTGCATTATCAGGTCCCAAAAAACAGATCAAATTCCATGAAAGAGGGTCTATTTTTTTTTTTCAATAAAAAGACGCATTACTTAAAATTTGAAAGTGCCGTAACATATAACTTAAATAATGAGCAAGAAGTAGAAAATATACATAAAGGGAATTGAGAATTAGCACACACCTTAGATTAATTAACAAAAGTCCAAAGAAGAAACCCTAGGAGCAAAGGAATTCGCAGATTTCAAGTTCTGATCAGAGGAGAGGGGTGTGGAAGAAGCAGATAGAGAGAGAGAGAGGACGAGTGAGGTAGAGCAAAACGAACGAAGGCGTTGCGTCGTTTCTGCTCTCTCTCTTTGTCGTCCAAAAAGTTGATGATTTCTTCTGTGTCTATATTTGCATTAACTTGTTTACTCTAATATTCTTCGTAAGTAGCGTAATATTCATGGTTTGACTAATTCATAATTTTTTATTATAAATTGTTTTTTACTATACAAAAGTCGTTTGTTATATAATTTGAGAGATGCCCCCCTCAATAATCGGTATATAATAGATTTTATCTTTTTAAATTTATTAAAAAAATTAATCTAAGTAATTATCATAAGTTAATTATTTTAGTTTTTTAAAATTATAGATATTATTAATTTTAAATTTTAAATTATTAAAAATTTAAATTTTTTCACATCAACTCAATTTAAATAATTCAAGAAAAATAATGAGGACTACTTAATGATGGATATTTTAACATTTTGATATAATCTTTTTAGAAAAATACAAAATCACCTCGTATTGATATAAAATTGCATTACTTCGTAATATGTGTAATTGTTTAAGTAACATGTAATAAAATAATCTATATCTAACAATTTTAGAGATTACTTTTTATATAATTTTAGAAATTAAATTAATAAGTGGTTATAATTTTAAGAAATAAAAAATTGATTTCTCATAATTTTATATCATAAAATTTACTTTAATAAATCTTCACATTTTATTCAAATATTTGAGGAATTTATGATAAATTTATTATATTAAATAATTTTAAAATTTCATAAAATTTTGATAGAATTTGAAGAATATTTTTAAGATGGGATATTAGGATTTAAAGAAGAAAATTTTCATTTTTTTTAATATTTTAACTAAAATTTGATGTTTGGACATATCTATGTAATTTGAAAATGTTTAAAATAATTTAAATATTTCAATTTATTGACATTTTAAGTAAAAATAATTATTATTTTAAGTATTTTAAGCACAAAATGGATAAAGAGTAGGAAGTTAGCAAATTTTTCTTCAATTTAGACAGAAGTACATAATACAATGATATTTAATTTGTCTTGCAAAATAAGTGTATGAGTGTGACAGAAAAAACAACATATGAAAGGGTATTTTTGAGTTGAATTAAATTAATTTTATATTTAAATATTCATTTCAATTCATTTTTTATATAAAAAAAGACTAGAGTATTAAATGAGAAATTGCAGATAAATTACCAAACAAAAATAGTTAATCATAAGAAAAATAAATTGAACAGTCTAATAAACACTTATTTTGGTGCAACTATTAACATAAAAGTTAGTTTTTATAAACACATAAATGAGACTAGTTGGCAAATTTTGAAGCATATATGTGATAGATAGGAGAACAATCATGAATAAATTGAAATGACACTAAGACAATCAAAATAACAAATGATTTAGGGGCATGTGAACATCTTAAGCAATGGTAAAACCTCAATATATGGCAATCAATTATAGAAGAAAATTATTCTTTACTTGTATACAACCAAAGAAAACATTAATTTATCTATGAAGTTACAACAAATATTTTCAAAATATCCTTAAAAATTTAATGTTATTATCTCATCTCAAGAAACTCACTAAAGAGAACCAGAAGAATTTTGAAATAACAATGCTTAAATTTCAGATGAGTATGATGAACATTAGTCAAAATTTTTATATAAAAAATTATTTGTACTAGATAGACAAAAAATTATTCCTATTTCTCCAAATGACTCCCAAAGAGACAATAAACAAATAATAATGATAATCTAAAAACTTAAGTAATCAAAGTTGAAGATCCATTAAAAACATAAAGAGGAGTTTACTAAACTAATTAAAAGTCTCCCAAATGTGCCTAGCAAAATTATAATTACAAAGATAATGTAAAACATTTTATTAATAACTATGAGATGTACCATAAATAGAAGAGTCTCACATATTTCAATCATGGTAAATAGTCTTGAATTACAAGAAATCAAATCTCACACTAATAACTATATGAAAATTATGATTTTTTTTATACATGTAGAATTTTGAAAGCCAAGCCTTATAGAGAAGAAATGAGAAAATATCATGGTTTGTCAACTAATTACATAAAACATTAATAGAATAAAGCTCATTGATATTTTGGTTTCAAACTAAACAATTAGAAGTATCTTGGAGAAATAAATAAAAAGTCAAATCTTTTGTATCATTTTAAAAAATAGTGTGAAGCATATTAAGAATTCAATTACTTATCCCACATATCTTCTATCATAGATACGAATAAGTAAACCTCCAATAGATTGCCAAAAAGAAGTTTTTACCTATATTTTAAAATAATAACAATCTTTTGTAAGAAATTCTAAAAAATCAAACCACTTTTTGTGAGAATAGTAAGAATATTTTGGTCGACTCCATATTTGTCTTAGATAATTTAAACCCAAAACTTATTGTGATTATTAATCATTGATCAAGTATATTTGCCCAATATAAAAGCATTCATCAGCCTAGAATAATGCAAACCCAATCTACCAAAGCTAATGATAGAACTTCATTTTCACAAATGAAGAAATTCATTATTATATTTATTTAATTAATTATATTTGATTGTTTTATTCTATAATATTTTTAAATAAACAAAAACTCATATATAAATTTACATATAAATTATTATCATTATTTAATCATTCATTATAATTTTTTATCTTGTTTACCATATAATATGATCATTTTATACTAATTTAAATTACAGTTAACTTAATTTTATAATTTTATATTAATTTATTATTAAATAAATTAGCATAATATTAAAAATATATGCTTTATTATTATATTTCAATTATAATTCAGCCATATATAAAACGATCAACTATCAATTAGGATTTTTATCAATTTCAATTGAATTTTATAAAATATTAATAAAATCATATCTTATTTCATTACGAGACAAAACATAGTTGGTGATTTAAATTTTCTATTTTTTAGAAAATCATACATAAATAAATTCCAAGAATTTTTACAATCAAATTAGGTTAAATATTAAAATATTATAACAATACAAAATAAATAAATTTTAAAATTAAGCATGCAAACTCAGAAACATTTTTTTTTAAATCCTACTTTCTTATTAAAAAGAGTATTAGGAATACATTCTCTAACACAATTTATTTAAGACGCTATTAATTGTTAATTAAAATTCATTACTTTCTCAATCTCTAAAATATAATCGTTTAAGATCATGACACAAACTAAGAATATGTTTAGTTATCTTATTTTCATTAAAAGTATTATAATTTTTTTATTATACTGATTTTGAAATTTGTTTATGCAATAAATAGAGAGAAGATAGGAAATGAATGTTGAGATAATAATTATCTTAAGAGTAAAGTTAAAAGAAAAAAATAAATCGTGCTTTAAAATTATAAAATGAATATTATTTAAAAAAAATAATTAAAGAGATTATTTTTTGGAGAAACGACGAGTAAAAATTATTAAAAATAAGAAACAACCATTGAATTAAGAGTGAGAATTGTTAAATTAAAAATAAAATTAATATATTTTTTATATTTTAAATTAAATTTTAACTAATAATTAAGAATATGTTAAAAAAATATATATAGTATTAACATTTTCCCTGATCTCCTAAAGTTAAAAGAAAAGGGCTTGAAATTCCTACAGTAGTTTTTTTTTCCTTTCATGGTTTCTTTTTTTTTTGGTTGTCAATGGGGTGTCTTAGTGCGATGTGGTTGGACTCTTGTTATTGGTAAGATATCCCATGGGCTTAGGAATAGCTGTACCCATTAGAGATTGGACTGAACTAACTGTGAAGTTTGAGAAGGGTTTCAAGGCCTACTAAAATTAAAGTTGGGCCCTTTATATTTTGAATGGAAAAACAATAATGAAACCAATCACTTCTAATATTTTATAATTTTGTTGAGTTTCTTTTAAAATATTCTAACCCAATTTTTATAAGTAATTAAATGCTAAACGACGAGTGACAATCTGATATATATCTTATTTAAGTATCTCCTTAATGAATTATTTTTAAATTATGTTTTATATTATAAATTTAACTATAAAAATTATTAAAATAAGTTCACAAGTTATTTCTATAAATTATCTATAAGTTATTTTAAATAAATCATTAATTAATAATGTATTATCAGTGGTTATTTTTATATGGAAATATTGTCGCACGAAAAGTAAAAATATATAACCATAGATGGTGGGTCCATGTGAAATGATATTTCATTGTACATCCCACTATCATGTTTTTAATCGATTATGATTATTTGTAGGACTAAAAAATTAGATTATATTTATTTGTACAATTTTTACAAATTGATTTCGTATCAAAGAGCATTTTTCACGTATTATTAAACGAGTTAAAACTCATCAATGTTATAGAAGTCAAACTTCTTTATTTACGCAGTAATTATATTATTAGAGGATAATATAAAGTTTTTTTTTTTCAAGTGAATTATAAATAAACCTGTAAATGAAAGTGTGTTTATAAGAATTGAATCACATTATTAAAAAAATATTTTTTAATAATTTCCATAAAAAAATAATCTTTTTATGAAAATAGATGTAAAAATATTATAAATATATATATATATATACATATATATTTTTTCCTGCAAATTTTAAAAGTTACAAAAACAAATTTGTATATAAAACTATTTTCTAAAGACACAGGGTTTTTTTTTTTAATTATGTTTTAAAATAATTTTAAAAAATTAAAAAAAATAAAACTTGTTTAGTAGTATAGTTTTTAAAACAAACAATTTTGTCCAAAACTTATTTTTAAAAATAGTATTTAAAAATTTATGTTAATAAATAAGTTTTTTTCTTTTAAAATTTTTTTTAAAAGTAGAAAACAAACAATCTTTTAAAATTGTAACAAATAAAATTTTTTTTTTCATAAAAAAATCTACAAGATAAAGTAACAATTTATTAATAATTTAGTAGTTATGAATTTAGATTATGTTTAATAAATATAACTTGAAACTTATTTAATACTCTATATCTTTTGACTTTGTAGACTATTTGATAAAGATAACGAAAGAAGTTTGCAATTTTAGATACTATCTATTAGTATTTATATTATATAGATATATATTTTATTT